TTTTTTTTTTTTTTTTTTTTTTTTTTCCATCTACTTTGCATTAAGGTTTTAAAAACTAGGCCAAGTTTTGAAAACTAGAAAAAGTAGTTGTTGAAAACATGTTTTTTGTTGTTGGAATTTGACTAAAAATTCAAATATTTTTCAAAGAACAATGAAAACCATTGTTGAGAAGGTGAGAAAACAGGCATCGTTTTCAGAAATCAAAGACCAAAAACCAAATGGTTATCAAATGGGGTCTTAACTTTCTGTTACGATTCTTGTATGCTGTGGTTTAAGAGCTGAAAATTAGCGATTCTGTTGCATCATGGGTGCATTCAACATCAGCAGTTTAATTAAATTCTTTGGTTTTTTTCAAAATCAGGCTAACAAAATCTCTTAGCTTCCTTTTTGGTGTAGCCATTAATTTTTAAGAAAGTTGTAATTTTTTTAGATTTATGTTCTGGCTCCTCCTTTTAATATATACCATTTTCATTTCCATTTTGGTCCAGGCTTTGGAGTGTCTCATAGAAAGTCACATGCTGACATGTGATGAAGGTAAATGTCGGCTCTATGGATTTGAAGAAGAATTATAGCTTAATACGTTTGATTGTGTACCGTGTGTACACACACACATATATACATAGACAGACATATACATGCACAGTACTTATACATCGGCATACACATGCTCACATATTTGTATTGCTTTTACAATCCATTATTTTGTTTACTGTTCATTCATGAAATATTTGACTTGTCATATATATATATATATATATTAATTTCTCCCCTATATTTTAATTTTCTCTCCTTTGGATACGATTGTTAATAATCTAATTCTTTTATACGATGTGGAATTTCAGAATCAAGTCTACTCTCATCATTGCAGTTTGGTCCTGAAGATGGATGGCTCTCATCATTTTATGCATGCTTAATAAAGAAAGTAAGAAGGATGCAGCTTATTTTTCTTCTATTATGAGTAATGAATACCAAACTAATGTCTGTTACCTGCATTTTCAATTGTTAGGATGTCTCTTTATATTTGCAACATTTTTTTTCCTTGCGTGCTTGTGAAATTCCCACTAATTTGTTTGTTTCCTTGTTCTCCAGTACGATAAAGAAAATATCATTGAAGCGAGATTCAAAGAACTTGAAAGAGAAAGTTGTAATTCAAAAAGTTCTGATCCATCATTTATTCGAACTCTAGAAACTAACACTGATCTGTTAGCTTGCAAAGCTGAATACTACCATCAGTGTGGTGAATATCAGAAATGCTTTGAACTTACCTCTGTGTAAGTCTATAACTGTCTAGGAAACTAGATCAACATATTGCTTGAATTTCGTCATAACTATCTTTCCCTTTTTATACCATTTTTTTTATTATTTATTTTCTCTTTTCATTTACAGTTTGCTTGAAAAAGATCCCTTCCATTTAAAAAGTACACTGGTACATTTAGCTGCAGCAATGGAGCTTGGACATTCAAATGAACTTTATCTAATGGCATGCAACCTGGTCAAGGACTATCCTCAAAAGTGAGTGGCTTGTGTATTGGAACTATATGTTTTTCAGTTGTTAGAGCATACAAAATATTTTAGTGGAAGTAAATATCAAATAGAAAAGTGAGAATTTATTTTTCCTTGGTTGAAGTAGATTTTATTAAGTTTTGCCAAATTATTAAATGTTAGGACCACACCCATAATTTTTTATATTTGAACTCCCCCTTGCTATTGGTCCATCACTTATTTGGGATATCCTTTTCAGGGCGTTGTCGTGGTTTGCTGTCGGTTGCTATTACTACTGTATCAAAAAATATGATCAATCACGTCGTTTTTTCAGGTGAATGTTACTGTTGTATGCTCCTTTTATAATTATTCTTCACTTGTAATTCCAATTGGTTGCTTTCATGTTGCATTTAATTAATACAATTAAGCCTAGAGTGACAACTTCATTGTCCCAGTTTTTGAACCTGACCAGGAATGAGAAATATTGCTTTGCATTGCTACCAGCCACCTCTTTCACCTAGAATTGACATCCTGCATATTATAGTTTACTAGCTGTACCTAAAGCTTTGCCAAATGGCTAACCTGCAATGACAT